AAAGTGATATTTTCGACTTCTTGTTAAAAACGACAAGTCCAATTGCTTTGATATTACATATATAGATACTATATATGGACCACTCTCAAATTTGTTCATATCATGATGATATCTTCAATTCTCTAATTTTGATGAATATTTTTGTCATTTTTGGTAAAAAGTGATATTTTCTTCTTATGGTTAAAAATTATATTTTTGAATTCTTGTTGAAAACAGCAAGTCCCATTGCATTGATACTATGCATATTGTTCATTTTCTAATGATATCTTCTGTTCTTTAATTGAAATGTGCATTGCTAACAGCGGAGCTATCTCAGCCGAGAGGCTGCTTGTTTTAATATATAATAATGTATAAAGACTTAATTTAATATTAAAAGAACATCGGGGCTAGATAATGGTCCATCCCTTAATATTCTCACTATTATCATGATAATACTTGAATTGTGTGTTTCATTTCAGGTGGCTATACTGGTGATATTTATTCTAATTCAAATCTCCGAAATAAAAATGATTTATTGGAGTATAAATTCAACACTGGACAATGGACTGAGTGGAGGATTGAAGGACGGTACGTTACTATTTTACAATTTATTTATTTTCCATGTTAAATGGTGACAATAATTTTTGTAGTTTCATATTGGGACTATTATTTTATCAGAATAATACATAAAAATGTTACTTATTTCATCGCTTTTGTTGTGACATCATTCACTATATATTAGGATGTTGACTTTATGCTGGTTGGCAATGTGTTTAATTTTTTCAAAACTGGTAAAAATGCTTATGAATTTATTAAGTTAAATTAGAATTGTAATGTTCTTGACAAAAATTGCTTTATTTTTCTGTTTTTTTTTCTTAGCCTTCCACCAGCTCGTTCAGCTCATGGTGCTGCTGTTTATGAAGAGAAACTGTGGATATTTGCAGGGTATGACGGGAATACAAGGTATTAAGACAGTCCAATGCTCCAATGATTTTATTGAGAGTCTGATATGGCACTCAGCCTGCTATAATTTGATCACCCATCGAGTCATGCTGCTCTGCTGCATTTCAGTGGGTCATGGCTTTTCGATTGATCCAGCACACCCAGCGTTTATGTCGTTATGGTCCCCTAAAGCAACAAATATCACGCTAATTAATCACTGAAGCCTGCATTCTTTAACCACAACAGTTATGACTGTCATAGTGGCCGGACAATCACATCAGTATTGTCATAGTGGCCGGAC